GGTGCCAGGGAGGGGAGGGGAGGAGGGGGGGGTGGGTGTCCCCGTGTCCCCAGCATCACTGGGTAACCTCAGGCCTGAGAAGGGAGTGCAGGGTCTCTGTGGGGCACAGCAGCCCCCCAACACCCTCACCCAGCCCTGCTGGCACCCAGGCTGGACCCCTACCCATGGCCAGGGTGGTGCCACCAGCCCCTGCGTGGAGGAAGGGGCCAATAAGGGTCACACTGAGGATTCTACTGCTCAGTTATCTGCAGCTGGGACAGTGGGACAGAGGACAGACACCCGTGTCCCCCACATTCACCCAATCCCATGGTACAGCCTCCTCACCCATCTATGGGTGCAGGGGGACAGAGGGGTCCTGTGGCACCCAACACCCACCCATCACTGCCGGGGGGGTCTCTGGCAGTAGAGCACCCCACAGAGCCAGCACCCACAGGGGGCACCCATCTGGCGTGACACATCTCTCCTGAGCAGGTCCCCAAGGGAGCTGGGATTAACAGCTGATCCCTGCAGGGATGGCAGCAGCGGTGGCATCGGGGGTGGCTTAAGGGTTGGCACCAGGGGCAGTACTGAGGAGGGCATCAGGGATGGCATCAGGATTGGAGACAGAGTCAGGGAGGCTACTGGGCACAACACCAGGGCCAGCACTGCTGCTCAGCACCAGGGGTAGCTCTCTGCTGGAAGCCCCTTCCCACCCCTCCTGCCGGGGGATGCTGGCACACAGCCGGACTGCTCAGCTCTCCCCTGGCACTGCCAGGAGCAACCCCCACGGCCAAGAGCCCCTGGCCCCGTGGCTCCATCACCCCCACCCGCGGGAAGCAGCTCCAAGCAGCTCAGCGTGTGTCCCCCGCGGCGCTGCCAGCTCGATGGAGGCAACTCCGGGTGTCCCTGCAGCGCCCCGACAGCTCCTGCCGGGCCCCGGTGACCGCGGCTCTGTTCTGCCGCTGGGGACAGAGGCGGGAGGTCACCCGGAAAATCAGGCTCGGGGGGGCCACGGCTGTCACCTCCCCCCAGCACAGCCATGGGTGCTGGGGTTCTCTGCGGGGAGTGGGTGCAGGGTGGGTGTCCCTCAGCCCAGCGGGAGCAGGGATACAGGGGAGGGTGTTCGAGGGGGACAACTGGTGCTGGCGCAGCAGTTTGGCACAGGCTGGCACTGTGTGCTGCTCTGGAGGGGCACAGTGTTCCCATGGGGGCCCCTGACCCTTGCACAGGTGGGTGCCTGCCCCCCAGCACCCCAAAATGTGGCTGGGGCTCACACC